AAAAAAAAAAAAAAGAAAGAAAGAAAAGAACGCATTACAGGGTCAACTTTAACTGACTCCAATCTAGCTTGGCCTGGGCAGGTCCTCAGACAAACTGTGCCCTGTTGTTCCCCACCCATCCCCAGTATGCAGAGGCCCCAGGAGCCACCAGGACAAGGGAGCGAGGGACACGCACGGAGCAAGCACCTGGCGAGCTGCCTCCTGACACTTCTGTATGGAAATCTCATCAGGCTCTCCCTGGTACTCTGGCACTTATTGGAGAAACAGACACACACAGAGAGTCAGGTCATGGGGAGACAGAGAACTCAAACCATTTTTCAAAAGTAAAACAGGGACATACAGTCAATTTTCTGTGCCACCAAAGTGCACGGAAACTTCTCTCCTAGAATCTGAATGACCTGTTCCAAAATGAAAGAACATTTATCACCATTTGTTAACAATTCCCCATTACTATAAAACTGACATCTGCCTTTCTCTTCAGGTAACTCTCCTGCCAGTCCCCTAAAGCTTACCAAATCAGGCCCAGGAACCTCACCCCTGCCTTCAGAGTTCCACCCCAGCAGATCAACTCCCCCATCTCCTCATCCTCCTAGTCCTCCTACCTCAGTTCCGTGTCCATGCTAAAACCCCATCCAGAAACGCTCTTCCCCTTCCCAATGTTCCCAGAAATCCTACCTATCCTCCTAGGCCAGGAATTCCCCATCAGGAGTTACCCAGAATTCAGGAGGCCTGCAAATTCTGATGGGAAAAAATACCTATTTCCACTAATCCCTAGCTGAAATTCAGCATCTCTTTCAATTGTGAATATAGAAAACAAACTAAAATAGCATTAGCAGCTCCTGTGACCTTTAAACCTATTGAAATCACAGGTTGTCATATCCCATTACAGTCATAGCAGATATCACAAGATACTGTTTATAATCCTCAGTATTTTTAAATTACAGTAACAAACAATGCTAGAATGAACCTTTCACTGCATTTATAAAATATATATGACCAGTCACAAATATTTGTGATATTTTGAAAACTGTACTACAGTAGAATTGGTTTCCTTTGCAATCCTATATATTTTATTTTGTCCATTTAAAAATATTTTCCTGAAAAAGGGTTCATAGGCATCACCGTCTACTAATGGGTACCAAGGGATAAAGAGTTAAGATTCCCTGTTCTAGACCAACCTCAAGTCTATCTTCTCCAATGAGCCTCGTCTAGCCACTGCAGCCCTTTCTTTAAATGTGGGAGGGCCGTAGTCTCAAGCAAAGGCAGAGATGGGCTTGGGAGTTGGCACCCACCATCCTGCATTGGGGCTCTTTTCAGGATGGCACTGACTGCTCGACTGGTCTGGCCTGACGATCCCAAACCTTTTATCAGCACAGGGTTCTGGCTCCTGTACTGGCATAGAAGTGCCATCTGTCCCAATACTTATGCATAAATGAAGAGTTCCCTAATAACTGCACCCCACTCGTCTGCCTCAGACACATCTAGTGGATGTGGTCTTGATCCGTCCCACAAGACCTACCTCCTTGGCCATGGATCTCTGAGCAGGGACAAACCCTTGACACAAGCAAGATCAGTCAAAGGTGATGTCCAGCAGAAGCCTCACTGCCCCCTCCACCAGAAAACCCCAACAGGAGAAGGGATAAGCATCCAGAGAGAACTACAAGGACAAGCCAGCCCCTGGAGAAACTTCTCAAGTCGTGTGGGACACCATAACATTGTATTCCCACAAGTCACCTAGAGGTTTACATGAGCTACCTGTGTACCTTTCATTTGCAGCCAAAGATGTTCCATCAACCTCTAGAATCCTCAGAGCTAGCCACAAAGTCCCTGTAGGCAGGAACTTTGGATCTACTGCCTCCTTCACTCCTCTCCATTGCGCTGTGAAGCGGACCTCGCACATTAGCCCCTTCACAGATGCGGAAAGAGGCCAGGAGAGGTTGAGGACCACATTTCTGGACGGTGTAGCGTGAACGGCTCTGCCTGCTTGCCTGTCCCATGCCCTGTCCAAACCCCCAGACGAGCAGAGTGGTCTGGATCAGTTCAAGAGGGGTGTCGGAGTCAGGGTTTGAGGTCTCGCTTAACATGTGATTAGGACAGGTGCGAAGGACCCCGCCAATCCTTCCACTCTTGCGGCCCCTGAGCTCACAAGTCCTGTGCCCGGGTCTGTCAAGCCCCTCATTCTATCAAGCCCAACCCCGGCCCGCCCCCACTCCACACACGCAGCCGTTCGACTCCGCTGCCCCATCCTGTACCACACACCCAGTTCTGCCTCTCCGTTTCCCCTCCTCCACCCTATACCCAGCCGGCCTTGCCACACGCTACGCTACCCCCAGCCGCCTCCTGGCCAGACTCCCACACCCTCTCGGCACCTCCTCCAGCTTTTTGGCGTTCCCTGTGACAAACACGATTTTTTTCCCGGCCAAAGAGGCCGCCATGGTGATGCCCGGTGACCGGGCAGACCTGCCGGAAGCCCTTCTGCCTGGAGTCTCGGCACTTCCGACTGTCCCGGAAGGGGGCGGACCAGCTTCCGGCCGAGGGTCTTGGGAGGTGCAGCCTCCGCACCCGATTACGCTCCCTGGGCCCCGGCGACAGCCTCCCTGCTTCCGGGACGGAAAGGCCGCCGCGCTGAGCACTCAGATTGCTTGCTCAGTCTTCCCGGAGACATAACGCCCCTTTCCTGGATAAGCAGTCCGGGGCGTCGGGACGCTAGAAGAGAGGAAAGTGGCTCAGCCCCCTTCCACCCACCAAATTGCGAGGCCTTCCAGAGACTGAAGGTTGGGTGTGTCAGATCTCCCCAGAGATGCCGTCTTCCAGCACCAGAAGAAATAGTTAAGACCCCCGCCTCACCCCTGTTCTCTCCCCTCTTTAGGACTGGGGCACCGAAGGAAGCAAAAAACCCCTCGTCCCTACCCCGAGGTTGGTGATGAGCTGCTTGCAGCCCTGTGTTCTGTCTGGACCTTGGAAGTACCAGCTCTTATCTACTTGATTGGTTTAATTTTACGATTATTGAAGCGTAATTGACATATTAGTTTTAGATGTACGTGATTCGGTATTTGTGTACATTGAAAAATGATGACCACAGTAAATCTAGTTAACATCTGTTACCATACGGTGTTACAAAAAAACTTTTGAGGCAAGACCTCTAAATTACTGTTAACAACTTTCAAATATTCAGTACAGTAGTATTAACTATAGTCACCATGCTGTAGATTTAGTATCCCCAGTACTTATTTTATAATTGGAAGTTTGGTACATTTTGATGATCCCCTTCCCCTATCTGCTGCCCCCAACTAACAATCTGTTCTTTGTATCTATGAGCTCATTTTTTTTTTCTGCTGTTTTTGGTTTTTTATTTTATTTTTTTCCACAGGAGAAAAGGCAAGATTTATTTTTGTTTTTGTTTTTTTAGATTCCAGTACTTGAATGTGAATTTAAACTTGGCATAGTCTAAAGCAAGCTCAGTCTTTTCACACATTTCTCAGGTTTGGGACCTCAATATTTTGGCTCCCTTCTCCCTCCAGCCTCTCAAATCCATCATCCCTTCATCATGCCCCTACCCCCAACACAGCAAAAAGTAAAAAGGGCTCCAACAGGGTCTATCTATGCAACAGACCTGGACCCACTGCTGACAGTCCCATTGGACAAATCTTTGTCACCCTCATCAGCAGCCACAGGTTGACAGCAAGGGCAGATTCAGGATGGGCTATGCTCCTAAAAAGGCTACACTTGTTAGAGGAACATTGGAAGCTTGGAAGTCTATCAGTGCCCAGATTAATTATTTCGCTGAATGTTATTGCCTGCTGATAATCTCAAATATTTTTTTGGCCCTAGAATTTGTCCTTGGGAAATATCCAGAAATTCTGTGCTGTCTAAACCTTTGCTCAGTGACCTTAGGATGGCAGGACTATTACACAGGCCCAAAGGTGTTACTGTGACCTGGGGCAGGTCTTGATGTTTCTTGTCAGTGCCGTTTCCATGGTGTGATTTGTGATGCTCTTGGAGTTGATTTGGGAAGCAGTGGTTAGTTCAGGGAATGGGTCTCTGCTGTCCCCCACCCCATGTCATTTGGCTTTTACCTTCATGACATCATGGAGAATCTCCAGGAGGTGGAAAGGCAGAGGATGTTCCCCGCACAAATCTGCCTTCCTGGCTGTTGAGAGTTTAACTACAGCCTCAGACTAGGAGGAGCTTGCCGGGGATGTATACCTAGTGTACCACCCAGACAAGCATCACATGTTATGGTCAGTACAACGATCCTGTGAGCACTGGGTGCTGGGGGAACCACCAAGGTTGCAGAGGCCTGGACAATCACCCAGCAAGCTACAGGAGTCCATGAAGAGTTATTAAGGAGGGAGTACTGTGAGTGGGTATTCATTTTAGATAGACCTCACTCTAAGTCTGAAAGCTTGGAATCTAAGAGCTTGGGGGTGGGAGGGTGGTGGGGGAGATATATGAATACCCAAAATTGTATGCAAAAGTTTGTGTATGTGTGATATTTGGTCAGGACTCTTTGTAGCAGTAACAGAAGTCGTAGGTAACAACAAAACAAAAAAGAAATGTCTTGATTGATTGGCTTAAATGATAAGCGCAGGTATAAAAAGATGGTCAAGTTCTTAGTTGCCCTGAACGTAAAAGGGGATTACATGAGTCTTTCATGCATTAAACATGCATTAAACAGTGTGCTAGAGTTAAAATACATGAATTTTTACCACCTTTAGAAGGAATATGACAGGAAATCTCTGCCAACTTTGAGGGGAACCCAGTTAAGCAAAGAAGGATGATTCTTGCTGTCATTTGGAGGGCAAGGGCTTGTTAGGTCCTGTCAATCCTTCCTGTGAAGTAGTCCTTGAATCAGTCCCCTCCTCTCCACCTACACTGCTACTGTCGTAAATCCAGCTCTATTCTGTTCTTACAGCATAGCAGCAGCTATCTCACTGTTAGTCTCATTGCCATCTCCCACCCCCTCCAAAAACCTGAAGTGCCATGCTTGGGGGCCAGGACTCTGGGAACTTCAAATGAAAGTTATAAAAGTGGTATCTCTATTGACAATTTGTTAGTTTGCCCTTCCACAAAACTTTATGTGCACTTGCAAATTACACACAAAAATGTATATAAAGCCTTGATTTTTACTTTCTAATAAAACTTTTTATTATGGAAAATTTCAAACTTACACAAGAATGGCAAACTTAAAATAGAAAACAGCATATAATGACCTTTTATATACCTATCACCTAACTAACAATTACCAATATTTGCTATTTTTATTTCACCTATCCTGGGCTTTTTGCTTGCTTGTTTAAAATTTAGCTTAAAAATGTAAAATATGAAACATTCCAAACTTAGAATAAAATAGATGCTTAAATTCCCACCGTTCCGATGTGGTATATGTTGTTAACGTGTTGCTCTGTATTCCCAAATCTAACCCTTATTCGATCTTCATTTGTTATCACTCACACAAAAAGCTCCATACTACTGTAATAGCAAATTTCCAGCACTTGTTATTTGCTTTTTAAAAAATCTTGAGACTACATCCTACTCCCAGCTTTGTTTTAAACAGCTTTATCGAGTCCTGTTTTTTGAGACATTCTCCGGAATTAAAGGGAAAGCTAAATTCCCAATGGATATTCAAACTCAAGTGCTTACTATGGAATCTGGATTATTAATTCTCATACAGCTAACTTAGTTAGGTTTAGGTCTGAATATAAAAATATATCACAGTTTAAATAGATTAAGTCCTTCCTTCTCGCCTTTTAACGAAATCAACGTCACTGATGCAGATTAAGTTGTGCCCTTAATTCATCACCTTCCTTCTTCAAAGGTAACCTCTATCCTGAAGTTGGTGTGTACCATTCCCAAGCATCTTTTTGTACTTTTTCCACATGTGCATGTTTGCAAAAATACTAGGGGTTATTGTTTAGTGTTTTAAAAACATATATAAATGTCGCACTGCATATAACTTTTGGCAATAACTCCCACCCAACGTTATATTTCTTCTACGTCCCCCAAATTAACTTTAAAGTAAAAAATTAAAGAACCTGCGCAGCTTGCGACCTGGGGAAGGACCCGAGTGGTGGGCGGAGCCGAGAAGGGCTATGGGAGGGGTCACATGGGCGTTGGGCGGGGCCTGGGAGATCCCGGGCCTCTGGGTGGACGTGCTGGTTCAGCTGGGAAGCCGTCGTCATGGTGGCCCCCGTGGTGTACTTGGTGACGGCGGCTCTGCTTATCGGCCTTATCCTCTTCCTAACTCGCTTCAGGGCCTGGGCAGCAGCAGGTAAGAAAGGCCGCCGCGCAGGGGCCTGTACGGCCGCGTCCCCGGGCCTCCTGAGCCTTTGTAGGCTGTCGCGCCACTGCTCCTGCGCATGCGCCGGCCTGCTCGTTGGGCTGACCACAATCTCCGCGCTGGTTTGCGCTTGCGGGGCGTCTGGCGGAATGCGCGCATGCGCATACGCGCGCGACGGAGGACGGGTGTGTCCCAGCTCGCGCCACTAGACGTTCCTCCCGGCCCCCAAAAACCCATCCCTGTCCTTGCCACTTGGCACTGCAGACCTCCGGACGCAGAGGGGTCAGGCCCTGGTAGACACACTCCAATCCCTCACAGGGGTTATCCCGTCTGTGTCCATGGGAGAGGTCTCGGGTTTCCCATCCCTCCCCGGCTGGCTGCAGAGCAGGCGCCAAGGAGACACCAGAGTGTTTTGTTCCCACCTATGAGCTGGAGTGAGCATGAGGCAGCTCCAAGGAACTCCTGAAGCTCTCTCCTTCCCAGTCAAGGAGAGCACCCATGAACCCTCCTCCCAGTTCACCCCGACCAGAAGTCCATGTCATTCATTGGCCAAAACACAGAATAGTTACCCTCATCACACTTCCCCCCACCCCCAATTTCTCATCAGCATATGAGTTTGTGTATATGTCCCTCCCCCTCCCTGGGCCCACAAGCTGCTTCACGGAACCTGCATGCTTCAAGGGCAGGGGAAAGAGACGCTGAGGTAAGGCCGATATTCAACAAATATTCCTGGAAGGGAAGACTCAGCTCGCCATGTGAGCTCTCTATCTGGGGTGCCAGATAAAACCATGGCAGGTTGTGTTAGGCAAGAAATAAAAGCAATCCTGCAGTGGGGATTAAGATGAGGTCTGGACAAGTGATTCTACATCTTACTATGCTGATGGACAGCGACTGTAATGGGGTTTGTGGGGGGACTTGGTGATGGGAGGAGTCTAGTAAACATAATGTTACTCATGTAATTGTAGATTAATGATACCAAAAAAAAAGGTGAGGTCTGGAGAGGTAAAGGTGGGCTTCCTGGATGAAGTAGGGCTTCAGCTCCATCTTTCAGGGTGGAACTCTTCTGACAGGCCAGCTGGAAAGGTGGGGCTTTGAGGGAAGAGAAAGATATCGACACAGGTAGGAGGAAAGGGGTGAACTTGCTGCATAGAACCAACGTATGGGTCTGGGTTGTAAAGGTCTTAGCTTAAGAAGTTGAGGCTTTATGCTATGGGCAGGAGCCTGGAGGAAGTTGAGTGGAGGAGG